CCGACGTGTGCGCGTACAAGGGCGTCTTTTGTGAGCAGGCGCTCGACGACCCCACCGTCACGGTGGTGGCCGGCGTCGACCTGAACCACGCCGATATCGCCGGGCACCTGCCCGAAGAGATCGGCGACCTGACCGACATCAGCCTCCTCCATCTCAACTCCAACCGCTTCTGCGGTGTGATACCCGAGAGTATCAAGAAGCTCAAGATTCTATACGAGCTGGACGTCAGCAACAACAGATTCGTCGGGCGTTTCCCCGAGGTCGTCTTGTCGCTGCCTGAGCTCAAGTACCTTGACCTTAGGTACAACGACTTCGAGGGCGAACTGCCCTCGAAGCTGTTCGATAAGGACCTCGACGCGATTTTCTTGAATAGCAACCGGTTCCGATCGACGATCCCGGAGAATTTCGGGAACTCTCCGGCATCGGTGGTGGTGATCGCGGACAACAATATCACCGGATGCATTCCGTCCAGCATCGGAAACATGGCCGGGAAGCTCGACGAGTTCATCGCCGCCGACAACATCCTCACTGGGTGTCTGCCGGAGGAGATCACGTTGTTGAACACCACCACGGTTTTCGATGTTAGCAACAACAAGTTGGTGGGGGATTTGCCTCGAGGGTTGGAGTATCTTCAGAGTTTGGAGATTATTAATATTGCGAAGAACAAGTTGAGGAGCAAGGTGCCGGAGAGCGTTTGCAGTTTGCCGGGTTTGAAGAATTTTACGTACTCATACAATTATTTCGACAATCGAGATCCAGAGTGCTTCCGTAATGCCTTTCCGGGTCTTTCGGTGGAGGACGAGGAGAATTGTTTTGCCAATGAGGCGGATCAGAGGTCAGATAAGGAGTGCCGATCGGTGTTGAGCGAGAAGGTTGATTGCGGGGCCGGCTGCCGCCGCCCAACTGACGGCGACTCGCCTAAGCCGACCCCACCCAAGGGGGATTCTCCAAACCCCAAGGGCGAACCAGTAATCACCCCAAGTCCAAAGGCTTCTCCATCTCCAAAGACACCAAAGGTTTCTCCGTCTCCGAAGCCAACGCCATCACACCGGAAACAACCAAAGTCCGACGCTCCGTCACCAAAGGCCTCGAAGACCACACCGACTCCTTCTCCATGGAGCCAGCCTCCGAAGGCCGCAATGCCCCCTTCCACTGGCGGCGGCGTACCACCAAAGAATGTCGTTCCGGCTCCCACGAAGACGCAACCGCAACCACAACCGTCAAAGGGCTCCGTTTCGCCTCCTACGACGGCACCACCAACAAAGGGCTCTGTTCCGGAGGGTTCCAGTCAAGCTCAAGCTCCAGCTGGAACACCACCAAGTACATCGAAAGCACCACCAACTCCGGCGGCACCGAAGAGCGGTGGAGTCCCGTCTCCGGTTCAGAAGCCTTCGAAGCCCTCGGCTCCCGCTCCTGAGCCACTGAATGGTGTTCCACCGACAGGGAAATCGCAGCCAACACCATCATTCACTCCCTCCCCTCCACCACCGGCAGTTTTCAGATCGCCAGTTTCCTCACCACCACCACCATCTAAAAATCCGTCGCCATCACCCACTGTCAAGCCACCGGTTTCCACTCCACCACCACAAATGATGGAAGAGGAATTAACCTCGT